GGGTGGGAGAAAGGGAAGTGAAAGGTCGAGGAAGCGTGGCAGGAACGCGGGTGTGATAACGCTTATTGGACCAAAAGCGCCCCCCCCTCAATAGCAATCGTCTAGATTGTGTATGCATAGGGCGCACGTAGCATGAGCGCAACCCAGATACTATGGGCGTTTTAACACCAGAGTTGCCATTCGCGTTGCATTTCGAAATTCGGTCAAAACTCACCAAAGTCTGTGTCGGACTGAAATGTAACAGCTACTCCCTGGAATTGACCCCGACACCATACTGCATCACCTGAATACGGAAAATCCAAAGACAACTCCATCAACATTGTTTAGTGCCGTTTATGCTGCGTGCGAGAATGGCATTAACAAAATTAATCACTCCTCCCCCACCCCCTTTTAATGTAATTTCATATGAACGCGCCCATTGCTAAACTTTACAGTTTATTGTCAATAGAGAAGAATATCCGAGTTCCAGGAAGCAGTTCAGAAGAAGAAGAAGCGATCACTGGAGCAAGAGTTTTATTGTCCTGACTTTCGGATTCCGTCAGGAATCCTTAGTCATAGGTAATCGTAAACAAGTCTGAGACATGCGCATGCCAAAACTTTTCCAAAGACCTTATCGACACGTTTTAGGTTCTGCTGTTGACTAATAATATTTCGAAATACTGCCTCTTCTTCAGCCACATTTTGCGTCTCTGCATTGTAGGTTGTCTTCGTGCTGACCGGTTACTGCAACAGTACAAGCGAGCCAGGTTTCCAAGCCTACCAGGAGATTGCAACTGTCAGCTCTGGTCAAGTCTACCTCATCGGCAAACGACAAGTCACTGAGGTGAGTTTTTCCAGATATAGCGTTAAACAAAATGCGTTTGATTTTGTTTACGTCAGCATGCCATCACTCATCACTGCCTGTCCAAGTGTTGCACTCGACTTTCCCACAACAACGAGGTTGACGCGAACCCTGTCATGCGGCCAAATCTGCTGCACCTTCTTCACAGCATACTACACAGGACCTACTTATCACTATCATTCTGGACAGAGAATTTGCACACATACACACGCACATACCCCATAAACAATTTTAAGTTTACACCCGAATGCTGGTAGGTGTGCCATCAAACAGACTGACCGAGAAAAATCGCCTTTGCCAAGAAGCGAATGAAATAGTTGTGCACATCATTCAAAGCATTCAAAGCTGGTGGGGTAGTTTAAATGGACTGTATGTCGAGGCTCTTAAGTATGTAAGGAGATGCCAAAGAAGACTTTCAGAAGAAGTATATCGCAGTTAGGGGAGCATGGACGAAGACAATGGGAGCAGGGGAACGGCCACTTGCAGCTTGCATGGCAGCCCACCATGCTGAATTTAGTTTTTTTCCCCTGGGATTCTTTGACCCGGATTCTCTGGCAATTGAGAATTTGCGAGTCCAGTGAGTCAGGGGCCTGGCGTGCCCAAACGTCAGCATTTTAATAAATTTATTTTAGTGTGCCCAGCCTCGTTTTCAGGCCCCTCCGTGCCTGTCGTCATGGCGTTTTTTTCCTTCGCCCATGTCAGTTTATGCGAGTTATTGAGGCCGCGGTTGAGGCGCGCAAAGTTCAAATTCTACAGCAGGACACTTGGGAGAGCAGTGCCAAGACCTACAGCTTTCCCGTCGACTCCCATCTCACCCAACTGACGGTCCAGGTTACCAACTACAAGACGCAAGACCCTATCAAAGTCAACATCCGGAATCCCGAGGGTAAGCCGCCTTGTTTGTACTAACTTTAAATGTACGAGCGTCGTTAATTTGGCCTTAGTGATCCCGAGCGCCGGACCAGTTTGGTCGTACTTATCTAGGCGCGACTGGGCGCATATCTACGCTCTATACACCCAATATTTCGACAGTTTCAGGCGACGGGGTTCATCAGTGCTCCGCAAAGTAAGCGCTGCCATAGCCTTCGCGTGATAAATTCAGGGAGTAGTGTTTGGTGAGTGGAATTCGATAAGTCTGATGATCTCGCGTGTATAACGCGTGTTCTAATCGAATGGCATGGATCGAAAGCCCAAACTGACGCTATAATTACACAGCTATAGTATGTCCAACTTTACTGATTTCACCAAACCCCATAAATTGGAAGGGCAAGAGGTCAGAAACATCCATCTGGTGATTAGCTGCACGTCTGCTAGCGCAATCAAAACGGGCTGCCTTATTTTGGTTAATTAACATTGACTGAAAAATATTGAAAAAGGGTAATGCTGTTAGATACCACTCAAAGACAATGTCTATGAAATGTTGATAGTGACCATAGCACCCCAAGCACACTGAAAACGAAGCCGAAGGATGAATATGATCTCAAAGAGATGAGCAATCCACCCATTGAGGATGAATGAAAACACGAGCGCAGTCCGCCAAGTATTTTTCCATGCATAGCTTCGCCAGGGCATTATGCAGTGGACGCATGGTGAACGCGTGTGCATAAATTCTCGAAAGTGTCTCACAGAGTAAAGACGATCCCCGTCCGCACCACGAGAGACCGGGGAGATAATCCCGCTTGGCAGTCGGAGGGCGGTGCTGAACAGCAACTCGGCCGCATGCCGCAGTCGAAGTCGGACTTCTTTGCCCTTTGTTCAGTTCGCTGAGTCCGTCCTGGTACGCAATGCAGTCTTGAGTTGACCGCGGGTGATCTCAACTCCACCAGTGGATGTTGGGCGGCAGGTAGTCGTCGGAACACGTGAA